AAGAGTTAAACTTATTTCAGATAGTTGCTAGGGCAAGATGTCTAAATTTTCGTCATTTTTCATCTAATATTTACATTTCATCAAAAAATGTTTTTAATAGTTAAACGTTGGTTTTAGGTATTGATAACAACATTGAAAACTGAAAATAAGATTAGGTTTCCTAGTTATAGAGAGTGAACAATAAACATTGTTTATTTATATTGGTTATTGTTACCAGTGTTATTTTAGTGTTTTTTAAATATAGAATTAATTCTATTTTTATTGATCTGAATTATCTTTGCAATTTTATTAGGTTTTGGTTAATAAAAAATGTAAGTTTAAGTTTAAGTAATTTTAGTACTTCAACTTCATTTAGTTGCCAGAGCAATATTTCTAATATTTGTTTAGTTTATGTATTTAATCCAATGTTTATATTTTATTTTATCTTTATTTTTGCTAACAAAAATGTTTTTTAATAGTTTTAGTTTTGGTTTATGTTTTAGTTAACAGATTTGTTACTAAAATGGCCAATAATTTGGCATTTTGAAATGATCAACTTCCAGTAACTGCCTACAGAAGTCTCAACTTCAGTGCTGAACTTCAGAACTTTCATTTAAATAATTAAATAAAACTTATAATTATATATAATAGAATGCAGAATCCAAAAGGGCAGTGTTTTAAACATTTTAATGAAAGTTCATATCAAACAAGCTCTTCATATTGACCCCTTTATTTATGGATTCATGCTAACAGTCCTCTTTTTAAATTCCAGCTGACAATGAATCGTGACCAGAAGCTGTTGAATCAGCTGGGTTTCTCTGATGAGCAGAGTCTGACGGTAAAGAGCTCAGGAACAGGCACTCCATCAGGCAGTTCAGCGGACAGCTCTGCCTCGGCCAGCTCCAGCAGCAGCGGGGTCTTTAACTCTGCGTATGCTTTGGAGCAGGTACATACACTCACTGAACCGACAACTCACAATTTCCTGATACTATTGGATCAAGTACACACTAACTGAGCAAGTACACACTTGTGTACAGAATACATACACTACCTTTCAAAAGTTTAGGGTCTGAAAGATTTTTTTTATGTTTTTGAAGTCTCTTATGCTCACCAAAGCTGCATTTATTTGATCAAAAACAGTAATATTTTGAAATAATTTAAACATGTAATATGATCCTTCAGAAATCATTCTAATATGCTGATTTGGTGCTCAAGAAACTTTTTTTTGGAAACTGTGATACATTTTTTCTTGATTCTTTGATGAATAGAAAGTTCAGAAGAACAGAAATTATTTGAAATAGTACATCCGTTTATATGTTACAAAAGATTTATACCACTTTTGATCAATTTAATATGTAAATAAAATAGATTTTATTCAGAAAAAAAAAAAAAACTTGCAGACCCCATCTGATAAGTAGTATATCTGAGAAGAAGTGTATCTCAACCTACATTATTAAACTCATGTGTGTGATTGCAGGAGAAATCTCTTCCTGGTGTGGTCATGGCGTTGGTGTGTAATGTCTTTGAGATGCTTTATCAGCTCGCCAATTTGGAGGAACCCAGGTAAAAACCCTGCAAGTTATACAATTATTTATTTAAAAGGATAGTTCACTCCAAAATTGTAATTCTGTCATTACTTATTCACCCTCATGTCATATTAAACCTGTTGTATGATGTTTTTTCTTTACTTTTGAATGGTAAATTTTTCCTTTCTATTTGTGGACATACGTTGTGTGTATTTTGTGATTTCAGTTGACTTGTGATAACTGTGTGGCCTTCTTGTTCCTGTCCAGAATAACTTTGCGTGTCAGGAAGTTGTTGCTGCTCATCCCGACCGACCCAGAGGTGCAGGACGCCCTTGATAACTTTGTGCCAAAAGAGTCCAGCGTCTGGAGTCACCAGGTACCTGAAAGACACACTTTGACTTGGATAATTGTAATTGTAATTACAATTACAAGCTTAATTCTAAGCTTAGAAAGCAGTTTCCACATACATAATATGAAATGAATTATGGGAATTATTTAATAGTTTCGATGAGTTTACTATTTGGAAAATTGTAATAGTAAAGAATAAGTAGGTAGTTAGGTGAAATAGTGTCAGATGTGAACACAGGCTGAATGACTCCGCATTTTGAGCACTGTAACAGTCATGTGACAGGGTTTTTGTTTTTAGTAGGGTACACACAGAGGACTGTGTCCTCTAGCAGACAGTAAATCTCTCTCTCTCTCTCTCTCTCTCTCTCTCTCTCTCTTTCTCTCTCTTCCATCAGAAAACTCTGTTTACGCTGGGGTCTGGTTCTCAGGCCTCAAAGTCTCCATCTCTGTCCAGTAAACAGCAGCACCAGCAGAGTGCAGCGTCCATCCTGGAGTCTCTGTTTCGTTCCTCTGCCCCTGGCATGTCTACATTCAGAGTGCTTTATAACCTGGAGGTACATGAAGCAGTTTTTATTTTGATTCAGTAGTGTTACCAAAGTTATTATTAGAAACCGATATCAAACAAATATTTTTTAAGTTTATCAAAAATTACAAACCAGCATTTGGTCCCAAACTATCTAAACCCTGTTGCCTATATTGGCATATACATCCCAGTTTCCTCAAAAATATTAAGCAGCACCACGGTTTTGAACATTAATAAGGAGAAATGTTTCTTGAGCAGCAAATCAGCATATTAGAATGATTTCTGAAGGATCATATGACACTGATGCTGAAAATTCAGCTTTGCCATCACAGGAATAAATTACATTTAAAATATAAATTTTTAAGGGTAGTTTGTTTGTTTTTTCAAATAAATGTAGTCTATTTTTATGTTTTTTTGCTAGGAAATAAACACCAAAGTATATTAATTACCACATTTTTGTAACAGGGTTGCAAAGGTTGTAATGAATTTTAAAATAAAACCATTTGTTTAGAGAACATTAATTTTTTAGGCTTGTTCTATATTCACACACTCACCACTATCTTCCTTACAGGTGCTGAGCTCCAAGCTGATGCCCACATCTGATGATGAAATGGCAAAGACCAGTGTCAAATCTTTCTGTGAGAACTTCCTCAAAGCGGGAGGTCTCAGGTAGCCGTCTGCATTCCACCCACTTTTACACTACTCCTCATGTTGATAATTATGCAGTCTTAATGTGGCTGTATATTTTGATCATTAATTCTCTCAGTGGTGCATTGTCTCTCTCTTGTCTCAGTCTGGTGGTTAACGTCATGCAGAGAGACTCCATCCCCTCTGAGGTGGACTACGAGACCAGACAGGGAGTCTATTCCATCTGCCTGCAGCTGGCCAGGTGCGTTCTCATTTATCAATCAGTCTTCTCTTTCCCTGTTTCTTTATTTTGTTATTTTGTTCACATCTTTTCTTTGAATTCAGCACTCCAAGTGATGGGCAGCATAATAATATTTCTTTAAAAACCATTGTGTTCTGTTCCAGTCTTTTTTTACCCAGATGAAAATTATAATCACTTTGTGTCTGAGAACATCCCTTAGACTTTTTGCAATATTTCTATAATTCCTAAGAAAAATATTAATAATGTTTCAGAATATAAAAATGATTTCAAATGAAACAGTATACATGTTTCTACTGCTCAAGTGCAGTACCTCCACTGACATTTAGGTGGCCTGGTAAAATGCTTCTATGTAAGACTTATGTGAAAACTTCTAGATAAACATATACAACTATTCATGTACAAAATTATTAGGAGAGTGCTGTAAACTTTCTAAAGTTACATTAAAGTCTATATGGGACATTTTTTGACCCAAAAATAACAGGTGTATTTTTTATAGCTAGCTAAGCCATTTAATTTAGTTCTGAAATGTATCAGCAAAGTAGTTCCATCTAATTAAATATGCACTGCCATCCAGTGCATGTGTGCTTGTAATTTTTGTAAGTATGAATTTATGTGAAATATTTATATGTAATATGTATTTTGTTTGTGATTTATTAGAGTATTGGGCCCATTAGCTTAGCAGCATGCTAATGTCAAAGTTGTGAGTTTAACCCAAAGTATACTTCAGTTTTTACATGAATTTCATCATATGTGACCCTGGAGCCCAAAACCAGTCTTAAGTCGTTGGGGTATATTTGTAGCAATAGCAAAAAAAAAAACATTGTATGGGTCAAAATTATCGATTTTTCTTTTATGCCAAAAATGATTCCAGATTTACAAATAGTTGTATCTCAGCCAAATATTGTCCTATCCTAACAAACCATAAATCAATGGAAAGCTTATTAATTCAGCTTTCAGATGATGTATAAATCTTAATTTCGAAAAATTTACGCTAAGTTATTACTGGTTTTGTGGTCCAGGGTCACATATAGTATGCGTATACTGTACACATGCAACCAGGTCCACAAGGTTGCAACACTGGCTGCCTGTTTTTCTAAGACCTGTACAAAAATAGCCAGTTATGCTGCTTGATATTGCAAACTGGTATTTGTTATATTATTTTAATTGTAATTTAATTAATTAATTGTAATAATATCATGATCAAAAACACACTTCTTTTTTAGTGCAAATAGTTGTACCGTTTACTGCTAGTTCTTCTAGTTATGTGCCTATAGCAGCTAATGAATCAAAAGTCTTGCACTTTCACAGAAAATAGCTTACTTCTGCGTTGCAAAATAAGGTGGATACTTTGGGCTTTAGCGTTTGTTAAAGGACTTGCTCTTTGTCTCCTCCTGTAGGTTCCTGCTGGTAGGGCAGGCTATGCCTAGTATGCTCGATGAGGAGTTGAGCAAGGAAGGTCTGGACACTCTGTCCTCTCGGCCGTTCCGTAACGCCGGGCGTCAGAGCGGCCGACAGCTCTCCGTCTGTGGGACTCCAGAGAAGTCCTCCTACAGGCAGGTGTCCATGTCTGACAGATCCTCCATCAGAGTGGAAGAAATCATCCCGGCTGCCCGTGTCGCGATACAGGTGTGAGAGAGCATCCGACGCTTTACTAAATGATTTATTTCTGATCATCTCTGACTTCTCTGGTTTGTCATTGTAGACAATGGAGGTGGGAGACTTCACATCCACAGTGGCGTGCTTCATGAGGCTCACCTGGGCAGCAGCTGCAGGCCGATTGGACCTAGTTGGAAGCAGCCAGCCAATCAGAGAGACGACTAACTCGCTTCTCCCGCTGGGTGTTCGCAGCAGGGTCAGCAGCACAGGTGAGACTCTGATCGGTACTGGATATCTCCCTTTTAGTCGACTTGTGCATCACTCTAAATGTTCGTGCTCATGTGTGTGTTGCAGGAAGTAACTGCAGCTCAGGCAGTGAGGGAGAGGTCACCACGTTGCAGGCTGGGATATGTGTCAAACAGCTGTTTGTGTCCATCAAAGACACTATTATTGCAAGAGAAGCACTCTCTTTACTCGTCACATGCCTTCAGCTACGCTGCCAACAGCTATGTAAGAAAAAAAAAAAAACACTGACACATGCGAAATAAAGTCATCAAAAATCAAAACACTTATGGAGTCGCTTTGTTTCCTGTTCTCTTTCAAGCTTCATTTTACAATCTGCCTTCTGTGAATGATTTCATCATTGATATTCTGCTGGGGTCGCCCAGTGGAGAGGTCAGTGTTTGCGTTGTAGTCCTGACAAAATTAAACTTGTCTCTTACTAAGTATGACCTCTGAGTCCAAATGTCTAAACTCCTTCTTTGTTCACAGATTCGACGTGTAGCGTGTGATCAGCTGTACACTCTCAGTCAGTCAGACACCTCTGCATACCCTGACCTCCAGAAGCCCAACCTCTTCCTGCTGAAGGTGGTTCTGACAGCCCAACTTCCTCTCTGGTCCCCCACCAGCATCATGAGGGGCATTAACCAAAGGTTAACACTAAACACATTATTTCTTCTCTCTTAGGAGAGCAGTTAGTAATCTTATTTCTCTAAATGTATAATGACAAATGAGACTTAAATGAAATTCTTACTATAACAGGCCCACAAAGTAATTAAAACACTGTGTAGACATTAGAAAAGCTATGAAATGATGAATATCTACTGAGCTAAGCTGATGATCGTGTTTTTAGGTTGCTTTCACAATGCACAGAGTATTTTGATCTGAGGTGCCAACTACTGGATGACCTGACCAGTAAGTGTTCTGCCTTATTTTCATAATAAGTATATAATATAAATGTCAGTTTTCACAAACAAAATGCACTTTGGTCTCCCATTATTTATTTTCTGATTATTCAGTCATTCCATGATTTTGATTATAATAAATATACTTCATTGTAGTAAAAAATTATTTGTAATTATTAACTAATTTAATTACGAAAACATTTTGCCCCACATTTTTTTACTTGCAGCCCTGTTTTTTCCTTATTAAAAATAATAGTAATAACATTCTTTAAAATTGTGATACATCATGTGGAGTGTTTCTACAGCATGGAGGAAAAAAACTATGAATCTCCTTGAGTTTTCTAGTGTAATGTTGACTGCATTTATCATTCTTCAACCCTGTTACCCAAGTTATTGTTAGAAAATGCAGACAGATGTTTGTTTATTTATTTATTTATTTATTTTTTGAAATGTATTATTTGAAATTTAAAATCATCAACTACTTAATCAACACTTAGTCCCAGACCTGATAGTCTCTATTGAACGATTACTTGGTTTAAGCCTATATTTCTAGCCCTGTTACCCATTCTGCCTACAGTATGATATTATAAACATTTTATATATATATTTTTAGGGCTGTCAAAATTACCGTGTTAATAACACATTAACGCAAATTCATTTTAACGGCACTAATTTTATTAACGCGCGATTAATGCAGCGCGTATTTTCTGTTTCAGGGTTTCTGCGGGTCCTTAAAAAGGCTTAAGAGGTCTTAAAATTAGTTGCATCATATTTAAGGCCATAAAAGTCTTTAATTGTACAAGAAAGTCTAAATTTTGCTTTCAAGAGGTCTTAAATTTGGGGAGGGAAAGACAAGAATTGCAATATGGCTTAATGTGATGATAAAACATCAAAAGGTGATTTCATTGAATAAATATGATATAAATGAATAAATATTTCAAAGTCAGCTGCTGCGCTGCTTTGTTTACAGTCGGAGAACCCGCTCTATTTTTACCGTTCCGACAGCGCCTCCTGCTGGCAGAGAATGAATTTGCGTTTTCAATAAGCCCGTCTGGTGTTTTTGTTCAGACCAATGTGAACATCCACCCATGTTTTTATGCACAAACACGAAGTTGTAAATGTGAACTGGTCGATTTATAAGATAATGCATTATAAAAATCTAAACAATTAAAGGGTTAGTTCAGGTGTATATGACTTTCTTCTTTCAGACGAATCCAGTCAGAGTTATATTAAAAATTGTCTTTGATATTCCAAGCTGTTTAATGGCAGTCAGTGGGTGTTGCAGTGCTTCAGTCCAAAAGAAGTGAAATAAAAAGCGCCCATTCATAATAAAAAGTGTCTCACATGGCTCCGGGGGGTGAACAAAGACCTCCTGTAGCGAATCGAAGCGTTTTTGTAAAAAAAATATCCATATTTAAAACATAATAATCAATTTCTAGAGAGATCAAAACAAAACAACGTTCACGAATTAGAAGTATAAAACGAGGATTTGTAAAGAAGAATGTTGGAGGATTTCGATATAAGCCAAGAGGAGACTGGTTTTCCTTTGCTAAAGTAAGGAAACTTTGCTTCCTTTGCGCCTGTTAACACTTTAATTCCGTATTGTGACGTACTTCCGAGAGGAATTAAATATTGAATGAGAAAAACAGAGGGCGTGGCTTGTTTTCTACTACGAACTGATTGGATGTAGTAAAGTAGGCGGTTTCATTCAGAACAACACTGACAGTTGGAGGGGCGTGTTTAAGGATGTTATGCTCAAGCCCAAGCCGTCAAACTGACGCCATCAGAGGAGGTCCGTCATTTCAGAGGGGAGGTGCATTTTCAGATGTGGATTAAAGAATACGAAGGCAAACAATTTTTTTTTTTTGTGGATTGACTTGCACGGATGAATTGTTCACCATAAAAATAGCAGTGTGCGCTAACAAAATAAATACAGTCAATTTTGATTTCATGTGTACTTTAAAAACTTAAAAGGTATTAATTGAAGGTACATTTAGAACAGATAAAAATGTGCGATTAAGTTGTGAATAATCACGAGTTAACTCATGACAATTATGCGATTAATCGCGATTAAATATTTTAATCGATTGACAGTCCTAATATTTTTACATTTATTTACATTTCCTATAAAAAAATTATTGAGTTATTTTGTTGTTTTTTGTGCTAGAAAAGACCAGTGACCAACTTATATTCATGATTTCGGTATCAGGGTTATAAATGTTGAAAATGAATGGAGCATTAAATAAAAAGCTTGATGATCAATATTTATATGAAATTATCAATATTTTATGAACGTCAACTAAACAGTTCACTAAATCATTTGCTCAACGCTGTTTTGTTCCCTCTATATAAGTTCCAAATATATCTTTGAGAGAGTGACACTTGCTTTAGTCCTGCAGAATTTAAGAACATTTTTTGGATTCCTTTAGAAAAGCTCATATGTTTCATGTTCTCAGCATCAGAAATGGAGCAGCTTCAGATCGGCCCTGCGGCCATGCTGGAGGATGAGATCAGCTGGCTTGATAATTTCGAGCCCACTTGGACCAACGAGCTGGAGACCAGCGAGGCCGACAACATCCTGCTTGCTGGACACCTGCGCCTCATTAAAACCCTGCTGTCCCTCTGCGGCAGTGAGAAAGAGCAGTTCGGTCAGCCACTTTTCAGATAAATATGACAGCATGATATGCATATGAAGAGCCGGATGTGGTGTAAACTGGTCTTCTTGTTAATGTTCTGCAGGTCCTTCTCTGATCCAGCAACTGTTGGACGACTTCTTGTTCAGAGCGTCACGAATCATCCTGAACAGTGACAGCTCATCTAGCACTACAGCATCTATCCACGACTTTCACCCAAAGTAAGAGGAAAAGCATACATTTAAAGGGTCATGAAACCCCCCGTTTCAGCACTGGTTAGTTCTCACCACAGTTTTAAAAAATGCTAAAAAAGTGGGCGTGGTGCGGAGCGGAGGGGGAAGCGAGGAGACAGACAACACACACAGCTTCGCGTTCAGACAGTTTCATTTCGCTCCCATCGAGTTAAAAACACAAATAAATGCACAGCCATTTGCACTCTGCATCGAAAACATATACTGTATGTGAACGCGCTGTTGCACCTCTGAGAACTTTTAAGGCTTATTCTATGGCTTTTATATAAGCCTTTTGATGGGTTGTGTCACAGAGCTGTAAAAACGGTTATGCTCACCAAGTGAATGAATCGCGTTTGTGCCGAACTCTTATTACAAAGCAAAAACAAACACTCTTCTTCGATCCATCGACGTTTCTCTCAGTTAATGTGCGCGATGTCATCTCACAGTCTGAAACGTCTGGCAAATCAACACATGCTGTTGTGAATAATTAAGCGAAGAGTCTTCTCATAGGATAAGAACGCGCAGTCTCATGAATAATTTAATAGACTGTGACGCGTCATCGATGTACTATAGTCCATTGCCACGTCACAAATTGTGACGTCAACACAATGTAGATTTTAAACCCGGAAGATGAAAATAGCGCAAAAAAGCTTAAAATTAACCAGTTTTCTCCAACAGTTAAAATTAACGGATGCTAACATTGTCTTCTATGATGTGCAACACAAACACCTCTGCTAAAATCTCAGAAAAAGTAGTCTGGGGTTTCATGACCTTTTAAACACATTGATACGCAAGTTGCTACAACTGCCTTTAGTAATTGTGTCTGTGTCTCAGGTGCAGTACGGTCAGCAGTCGTCTGGCGGCATACGAGGTGCTGGTCATGTTGGCCGACAGCTCTCTTACTAACCTGCAGCTCATCACTAGAGAACTGTTGTCCATGCACCACCAATCTGACCCATCTCTCACCAAAGAGTTCGACGTGAGTCCCCTCACCAGTCCTTATATCTCTTGAATGAAGTAGAAATAATTTTTAATTGCCCTGTTCTGCTATAAGGACTTACAACAGATACTTGCGTTCATTTCTGTCATTGTGTGTGTGTTGGCAGTATCTTCCTCCTGTAGACAGTCGTTCTGTGTCTGGGTTTGTGGGACTGAAGAACGGAGGTGCAACCTGCTACATGAATGCAGTGTTCCAGCAGCTCTACATGCAGCCTGGTTTGCCTGAGGTAAATGTTGCTCACTTATTATCACTAGTGTAAGGTTAGCACTCTCTCACCACTAGGTGATGCCCTAACCTAGAAGTAGTAGGAGTGAACTGGATTGAGGAAGTGTTTATTGCTGTATTGTGTTTGTGTGACATAGTTTGTTTTAAAATGTAATTTCTTCATATTTGAAAATATCTTTTTTTTTTTTTTCATTAGTTTTAGTGTAGTTTTTTTGAAACATTAGCACCACAAATTGTTCCATCTACCTATGGTGACGCATAATACACTATTAAAAACATCATACTCAATACTGCAGTGAATGAATCCAATATTTACGGATAGTCAGAAGTCAGCATTGAAAATATTGAAACTGAAGTTATTTTCATTGCAATTCTATTTCGTTTTGTTTATCCTATTCACAACATTTATAGTTTCTGAACTTTTTCAAGCTCTCATTTATATATATATATATATATATACACTGCCATTCAAAAGTTTTAGATTTCCTTTTAAATAACACTTTTGTTCAGCAAGGACATGTTAAATTGATCAAAAGACGTTTATAATGTGTCAAAATATTGTTGTTTTTAATTAAATTGTTCTTTTGAAGTTTCCATTCATTAAAAAAAAGTCCTGGAAAAAATGTCATATTTTCCACAAAAATATTAAGCAGCACAACTGTTTTCAACATTGATAATAATAAGATAATGTTTTTGAGCAACAAATCAGTATATTAGAGTGATTTCTGAAGGATCGTGTGACACTGAAGACTGTCATTTTAGAAAACTGTTATTTTAAATTGTAATAATATTTCACAATATTACTATATTTTTCATTAAATAAATGCAGTCTTGGTGAGTATAAGAGACTTTCAAAAACAATCTTACTGGCCCCAAACATTTGAATGGTAGTATATTACTGACTACAATACTAATATTTTAAAGGGGTCATATGATGCTTTTTTAAAGATCATTATTTTGTGTATTTGGTGTAACAGAATATGTTGACATGCTTTAATGTTCAAAAAACACATTATTTTTCAAATACTGTACATTATTGTAGGTCCTGTATGCCCCGCCTCTCTCAAACGCTTCGTTTTCTACAAAGTCCCTCCTTCCGATTTTTTTGGAGTTTGTCTTTATAATAGGTTAACAATATTAACCTTGTGTATGTTATAGGCTGTCTTGTCAATTGAAGATGACATTGAAAACCCAGAGGAGAGTGTGTTCTGTCAGGTGCAGTCTCTGTTTGGTCACCTGATGGAGAGCAAACTACAGTACTACATACCTGAGAACTTCTGGAAGGTGAGATCTACCTTTATGATTTGGCTGGAAACGTTCGACATGCACACAGTGAACTGAATTTCGAATAAATGCTGCCAAATGTCTAAAATACTAAAGAGAAATTTCTCATTCTAAATCAATTTGAGATGCTTACATGAAAGTCATGCATATTTAGGATGCACTGTATTGTTGTAATGTGTATATGTGGATCAGCTTGATGAACATCTAAAGGTACAGCTCACCTGATGTCCCCTGCAAACTCAAATGCTCATACACAGTCTGAAGTGTGTTTGTAATTCGCCTAATGTCTTCCTCATAGAAAATCGGTCGAGAGCAGATCTTCAAAAACACATTCCAGGGCATTTTCTCTGATCAGAAGATATGTAAAGACTGCCCACACAGGTAAGCCTTAAAGGAACAGCTCATAGTTTACTCGCTCACATATCATTCCAAACCCATTTTCTCAAGAAGACTTCTTAACAACATTGACTTGGGTATGGTTTTTAGGTACGAGCGCGAGGAGACGTTCATGGCTCTGAACTTGGGGGTGACATCCTGCCAGAGTCTGGAGATCTCTCTCGATCAGTTCGTCAGAGGAGAGGTCCTGGATGGCAGCAATGCTTATTACTGCGAGAAATGTAAAGAGAAGGTACAGTCTGATGTGTTCTCATTCATAAAGACCTGCAGGGAAATACAGCTGTACGTTGTGCTCACACATTCTGTGTTGCAGCGTATCACAGTGAAGCGGACCTGTATAAAGTCTCTGCCCAGCGTGCTGGTCATCCACCTAATGCGATTCGGCTTTGACTGGGAAAGCGGCCGGTCCATCAAATACGATGAGCAGATCCGAGTAAGACTATACGCAGCTGCAGCTCTGCTTCAGTTCACATGTTATGTAGTGCTGGCCTGCAACTGATAACTTATCAAAAAACGATTAATTTGTTGATTATTTCCTTATACACTACCATTTGGGGTTGGTAAGATTTTTAAAATGTTTTTGAAAGAAGTCTATTATTTAATTAAAAATACAGGAAAAGCGGTAATATTGTGAAATATTGCAATTTAAAATAACTCTTTTCTTTTTTAATATATTTAAAAAAAAAAAAAAATTATATTTAAAATTTCATTTTTTTGTGATTAAGCTATAAATCATTTATAAATTCTGCATTTATACTAAATGTATTTAGACTACTGTTTTTCATACAGATACTTAGAAACCATGTAGTTATATATTAACCATGCTATATGTGTGGATTTAACTGTGGTTATCATGATCTAAATGCATGCTACTATGGAAGACAAATGGTTAATTTGTATAAAACTCAAACAGTTAAATTTCACCATATAAAAATGAGGTTGTTACAATTTTTACAGGCTTTACTGTTTTTGATAGTGAACATAAATTTACATCTGCATCCTAACTCAAGCTACTACTACTGTCAGCTCAAGCTGCTGTCAAATGTGCATTTCTAAGAGACAAAAATATTATTAATATTGGAGCCTGCACTGCAAACTATGCTGAAGATACACATCATCAAAGTCAGGCAGCAAAAACCTGTTTCATAATTTGAAACAATATCTCTCATTAGAACATGCAGAAACTAAGAAATTCATTTTTCTATTAAAATATTTATTTTAAAGGAAAAATGACTGGAAAAGTGTAAAGAATTAAAAACCGTGAAGTGTTTGTCATGTTCTGACCATAAAGAGTCATTTAAAACCACAGTTAATGGTCTGGTTTCTACTAACGAGCAAAAATCTGCCTTGAAACTTGAATAAAGAAAGATTTGACATTTATCGTGATAATTACAGATATCGACTGATCTGAAAAATTGTATTGTGATAATTTTTTTGGCCATATCGCCCAGCCCTATCTGATACTGTCTATCTGCCTATATATCTATCTATCAGGCTTGCTGCAGTAGTCAGTGTTACCAGTATCACACAGCATTCGGTCGTACAGCGAATACATTACTTGCTGAACACAGTACACTGTCTGTGTGCTTTTTTTAAAGAAATAAAAACCATTTAGTTCAGTTGGACAAAAGCATCTGCTCTACTCAGTACAGCGCACTCCAGCACGCAGCAGGAGTCAGATTTCACTGATCACGTGAAGAGAGTGAGAGAGGTGCTTTCAGTGCGAGTGTATCAGGTGTGCACGAGCATGAAGGTGCGTGCGGCAAAAATGATGAGGAAATGATAGCAGATGGCATGTGGTGTATGCCATGCCTTGATTATTCATTTTTGTTAATAAACGTCATACACGGTAGTTTGTCATTGTACTGTTTTATTGTTGTTGTGCTTTTCATTAACACTAATAATTAATCCATCTTTCAAGCATTTGTTTTAGGCTAAGATAGTGAAATATGTATATATGTAAGCGCAACAGACAATTATCCTTTCTTGTAAAACGTGACACCAAGATCGCAAAATCGAAAGCGTCCAAGTAGTGCCTTTTTTTTTTCCTTTGCTCACTCGGTTCCTCCCTGTCCGCACCTGTGCTCTCGTCATCAGTTGTGTCTGAGTCGATATGCTGGCTCGGTGGCTCGTCCTTTCCACCAGCATCCTTACCCTCCTGAATTCCTAATTTGTGCCTTTCATCATCAGTGTGCCTTACGCATGTACGAGACTGATAATGCAAGTGCAGGTAGGCAGACACTCCCACAAATGCGACCACGTCAAATTTTAACTCGCATATTCTCAAAAAATGGTCGCAGTCTAGAGCCTAATTTTATTCCTGTAATGGCAAAGCTGAATTTTCAGCATCATTACTCCAGTTTGCAGTGTCACATGATCCTTCAGAAATCATTCTAATATGTGCTCAACAAACATATTATCAATGTTGAAAACAATTGTGCTGCTTCATATTTTTGTGGAAATCATCATACTTTTTTTTTTTTTTTTT